GTATATATCGAAGGGCTCACGGCATGAGCTTATACATGCGGTGGCTGACGGTGGATGATGTGCTAATAACAACATTGCGGGTGCAGCGGCAGCACTAGCTAGTCCGAACGATCTGGGCGAACTTGCGATGCATCGCGGTCACTAATGCCTCGACGCGGTAGGGCGGCTAGCGACGTGTCACTAGTTAGGTAGGTACTTAAGTACCTATCTACTTACGTTCACCGCATTTTGCGACTTCAAATATAGCCTTATCGGAATGCGTATAACTAGAACCTATACTTCGACCGGGCCCCAAAAATTATCGTGCGCTTTGCAGAACAGCATGATGCAGACCTATGAGCCATACACTACACCTTATGGGGCTTCTCTTTCCAGCGCGTCTTCATCGACGAGCCCGATTCTGACAAGAGGACGTGGTCGCCTTAAGGTTAGTATGAGGAGTTACGTAGCGACGCCAATGTCCGGCTGTTATCTCGACCTCTTTACTTGTCTTGATCTAGTTGAAGGGCTTTTTCATCAAACATAGTCGGCAGCATTGTGGCAATCTTCCCTTTCCACAGGGATTCTGAATGGTTTTATCCCTTGGTCCGAAGATTTTGATGGGACTGGAAGGCGGAGGCGTTAGCCGCTCCTAGGGAGGGCCAGGTATACCAATACCGACAAAACCAAAAACGATAAGATTCAGTGTCAGTTGCCCCACTTGTATGCCAGTTAGTTAAGTCAACCAAGTCAACCAGAGCACCTTTACGTAGTATTTTAAGTTGATAACTAATTGTACAATATATATATATAATAATATTTAATCAATTTACTTGCCTGGGCAATATTGGTCCGGGCGGGTAGTGCGAGCGGGGTTATCGAATTATCGACTTTAGTTTTGTCGGTATTGGTATACCCGGCCCACCTTAGGAGGGCCAGGTATACTAGCACCGACAAAAAGTCAGTCAATTAAGTCAACTAAAGCTTATATACCTTTTATATAATATTTTAAATTAATAACTAGCTATATAATTACTCTAATACAATTAATTTATTATTTGTTACGTTATATAATGTATTGAGTTGCAAGCGGGGTTATCGAATCCTTAATCCTTAATCCCCAGTTTTGGTTTTGTCGGTATGGCCCACCGTCCGCTCCGCTAGGTATGTGATATTTTAATACCCCGCTGGGCGTAATAGTGGCGGCTTGGATCCGTTCGCGCCCTATCTATTGCCGCCCCTCCGCATACAGCTGGCTGCGGAGTTCGTTCAGTAAACTGTTTGCCTTTCTAGGATTTCCAGCGAGATTCATGGTCTAGAACGATTGCGAAGCTTGGTTTCATTATCTGCTTTCGCTCAAACTGTAGCGTATTTCTGCGCGCTAGGTTCGGGTCTCCGCAAGAAGCTACAGCGGCGTATCGCGGGCGCTAGGTAAGCCTTACCGCGCGGTCATACATTCCTGCTAAGCTACATGAGCTGCCGATAGTTACTGATCGATAAAACCGCAGAGTTGAGCGCAAAAAATCCTAGTAATGATAGGTACTAGCCAGAATAGGACATCGTTAGCAAACCACCGTATTCGTTTGCTTGAGCTGCCGAGGAGTGCTGTGGACCCCGTGAATTACACATACGACAAGGTCACAGACGTCTAATGAGTATGTCGCATCATTCAGCCATGCCTTTAGGCAGGTTACTCACACAAGACTCACATGGGGCCGATACTTTGACGAGTAATAAATGGTGTTATGAATTAGGGGCATAAGGACTTAGCCTCTCACGTTCTCAGATCAGTGAGTGTAAGAAGGGTTTGGCTCTAGATTACCGTGGACCTTGAGCGTAAGCTATGTAAACAGCTAAACTATATTAGAAGAGTACAGAGAGTGGACAGAGCCACTAGTTGACGTAGTCCAGCAACTTGTGGCATGGGTACTCGCAAGGATTCCTGTTTTCCTATCGACTCGTGAGATTGAAACTTCATGTAATAGGTATACCACATCACCCGTATCACCACCTCACATCCTTCACCACCAGCCCGCGCATCGTAGTCTAGTAGTAGCTATATTTCTTGAATGAGTCTCTGTTCGAAGTGTAAGGGCCTTGATTTAGTCGCAGCCTTGCGCAAAGCCCAGAGTCCCTCGAGCTTCCCGCGTGACGAACACGATGACGGCCATAGCGTGATAGGGAGATGGCATGTGCTTGGCCGCGATGTCTTCGCTTCGGCTTCAGCCTGTCACTTATGTGCTCTGATTCGTAAAGGCTGGGAGAAATGGCGTCTTAAAGTTGTCCGCGAAGCCATCGCCGACAACATGTTCGATCCAACCGACCCGCCCTCAGACCTGTACGACAACATTCGGGATATGCGTGTTTATCTCAAAGGGAAAACTTCATTTGAATTCATCCGGCGGAAACGCTACTGCAGTGAAGGCGAGAAGTGGAACTACTTTCTAGCGATAGCCTGTACCGACGCTGGCCCCCAGACATCCTTTGACGTTCATGATCGGCTGGTGGCAGAGCTGAGAATCACTCGTGCTGACGATGAGGGGGATCCTGCCGAACTTGCCGGCTTTGGGCTTAGTGCCACTGTTTGCAAAGACCCCATGTCGACGTCCAGTGTCAGCACCGCGAAGGACTGGCTTGAGAATTGCGTGTCAAAACACGAGACTTGCCGCCCCGAAGCGGGGGCAGGAAGTCTGCCGACTAGATTCCTCGACGTCGGCGATGGTGACAACAGTGACACGATCTTCTTACGAGAGAAGAGCGACGAGGTAGACCGCCACTATGTAGCGCTAAGTCATTGCTGGGGAACCTCGCGACCACTGTGTCTCACTTCAGATACGCTGGAGACTCACAAGCAAGGTATTCCCATTCGGGCGCTCCCCGGTACGTTCCAAGATGCCGTGACGATTGTTCGCGCTCTTGGGCTGCGCTACCTCTGGATTGACAGCTTGTGCATCGTCCAAGACGACCCCGAAGACTGGCGCAATGAGGCCGGGCGTATGGCCTGGGTATATCGCAGCGCTCACCTTGTCCTTTCCGCAGCCCGGGCCGGCTCAGATGAGGAGGGGTTTCTCAGCACTCGCCCGAACCAGGATTACGCCGCATTCAGCATTCGAGGCAGTAGCAACCCTCTTATCCTAACTCTTATGCCGCCAAGCCCGTCAGGAGAAATGCCTGATCTCGATACTCATGTCGTCGCGAAGGAGCCACTAAGCCGTCGGGCATGGTGTCTGCAAGAGCGTTACCTCGCGCGTAGGATCTTGCATTACGGAACGGAACAGATGATCTGGGAATGTGGCGATCTCCGCGCTGCCGAAGATGGCGATTTCGAACCCGTAATTGAGGATCAGTTGGGGCGACTGAGGCGGTCTGCGGCCTTGAGCACAACCGTCTTCAATGCGAGGCAACGAGATGTTGATGGGATAACAGAGGTTCCCGAGCATCGGCACATGGAATGGTACGCTATGATCGAAGACTACACTAGCCGGGACATAACCCGGGATTCAGACCGTCTCCCTGCGCTACTCGGCCTACGCGTGGCTCTGGAGTCGAAGGCGGAAGATAAATATTTAGCTGGTATCTGGCTGAATGGGCTCCTGGAAGGGTTGGTGTGGTGCGCGGCATCGAGCGACAAACCACTTGCTCGCCCGCACGGCTTCACGGAGCCGTCGTGGACATGGGCGTCCGTCAAGGGTCCGGTACAGTTCCCTATCTACTTGTGGTTTGACAAGCGGGCACGCTGGAAAGTGCAAAGCACCTTCGAGCCTCTGGCCGAGTATCTCAGCCATAATCACGCCTTGAATGACGACGTTACTTTCACTCCACAGCTACGGTTATCTGCACCTGTCATACCTGTCCGTGGTAGCAAGCCGCGAGCTAAGACACCTCCAGAAAGCGGAGCATGTCTAGGAAGCCCACCCGAGAGATCGGTCGTCGCAGACCGGAGCTTCTGCTTCCAAGGGCACAGCCAAGACGGCTTATCTTGGGAACTTTTGATCGACGGCTCATTTGACGTCAAGGAGGAACAAGATAGTATCAATGCGATTGATTTACACTTGGTCTTCCTAACGCGCTTACCGTTTATCTTCGAAAACTTCGATTTCCTCGAACATCGCTTCGGCCTCTTAGTCGTGTGGCAGGAAGAGACAGGAGGTTATAAGAGGGTTGGGTACGTCGACGGATGCCTGGAAAGTGGAAACCTCGTCACTGCCTTCCCATGGGAAGATGGTGACATGTACGCTGAAGAGATAAATAAGCTCGCCCCAGACCCTATTCAATTCGAACGGCAGCAGATTACGCTCATATAACCTAATCATTACCTATTAGACATGCCGTTCAAACTCTAATCTCGCTTCGACTGTTCATAGACGAATAGCATATATTAAATATATATATAGCGAGCAATCATTCTACCCTCGGTTCCGTAGTTGGGCATAGTGGGCTACCGGTGGGTAGTATCAGGAAGTCGGTAGTACATCATCGAGCACATGGATGACGATAGTCAGGCTTAGAGAACTAGCATCAGCGTATGCCAAAGAGTTACTAAAAAACTTATAGTATGAACAGAAGCTAGAGTTGTGATAGTGGATAACGCGGAAAGCCGAACGTCGAGGCTTGCGTTGGTGATGTGTTTCGGCACTCCATGTGCTGTTCCAATCTTTGTCTCTGTGAAACACGACGCCGCGCTATGGCAATCGACTTGAACGGGGATTCCAATTGATTGAACTGCTCGTTTCCTAACTTAGAGTATGACAAGAGGTTTTCGACATCAATCAAAGGACCCCAACGTTAACTATGAGGAGAGGTTTACAGAACACTCTCATGCCCTAGGAGTAGCAAGCTATGATTACCACTAATTACCTCGACCTATTAATCTAGGGCCCCTTAGACAGGGCAGAGACTACAGGATCATCGTCGCCATTGCCTAGCAGCTAGTGTATAGGTATCGCGCTCACGGCAATTGAAGCCTCTTCGACGACGATCGTGATGGGGTGTTTCAATGACTCGAGTCAACACGTCCCAGAGCCCGCTTGGCTAAGTGGTATAGCGTGTCACTAGTACTCGAAGCAATTCGCCTAGCTAGGTGCCATGACAAGATCAGCGGTTCGATTCCGCTAGTGGGCAATCCGGTTTATCGAATCCGAATTGGTGTAGTGGCTAACATTTGACGCTCTCATCTTCGTTTCCAACGCAGACGGCGCCGTCAAGCCCGGGGTTCGATTCCCCGATTCGGAGTGTTCAGTACATTCTCTTTTACGGGCGGGGGGGGGGGGGGGGGGGGGGGGGGGGGGGGGGGGGTGGTGGGGGGTGGGGTGGT